GTCTTTTGTTAGCTGAAAGGGATTATGTAAAATTGGTATAAATTCATATTTAATGTTCAGTAAAACTTTCTAGTGAAACCATCTGGGACTGGAGATTTTGAGTAGCATTTTAATTACAACAAACTCAATTTATTTCATTGTTGTAGGACTACTGAGGCTGTCTATTTTATCTTGACATGTTTTGTAGTTGTGTGGTTTTCAAGGAATTCGTCCAGATCTTTATGATCATAAAGTTTTGTGGGGTTTTTTTGTTGTTGTTATTTTAATAGCTTCAGGATCTATTATGTTATTTCCATTTCAATTTTGATTTTGGTCATTTCACTCTTTTTAATCTTTCTCAGTTTTGCTAGATTTATCCATTTTATTGTTATTGGTCTTTAAAAAAAAAATTTGTGACAGGGTCTCACTCTGTTGCCCAGGCTGGAGTGCAGTGGTGTGATCATAGCTCACTGCAGCCTCAAACTCCTAGGCCCAAGTGATCCGAATAGGTGGGACTACAGGTGCATGCCACCACAGCTGGCTAATTACAGAGATGGGGTCTCACTATGTTGTCCAGGCTGCTCTCAAACTCCAGGGCTCAAGCGATCCTCCCACCTTAGCCTCCCAAAGTGCTAAGATTACAGGCATGAGCCCCTGTTCCTGCCCAGCCATTTGCTATGTTGTAAAGAACCAGTTTTGGGTTTTAATAACTGTCTTTTGTTTTCTGCTTCATTCCTACTTTTTATTGTCTCCCGCTTTGGGCTTGCTTTGCTCTTCTGTTTCTTGAAGTAGGAATTTAGAGAATTGATCTGACATCTTTTTCCTTTTCTGATACAGGCACTGAATGCTATCAGTTTCCCTCTAAGCACTACCTCGAGTGCATCCATAATTTTATTATGTTATATTCTTGTTTCCATTCTGTTCTCTTTATTTCCTTCGAGGCATCCCATTTGACTTGTGGATTATTTAGAAGTGTGCTGTTTAATTTCCAGGCACTTACACAGTTTTCCTGTGTCTTTCTCTGACTGACCTCTGGTTTTTATGTCCACTGGTGTGACCTTCTGTTTCGAGCACGTCTACGTACTATGGGCTCAGCTGTCATTTCCCTGCTCCAGCCCTGTAGGTGGCCACCTCCTCACGTCACCCCAGCGCCATCGTCACAGATGAGCAATATTCACATAACTTCTCAGTCTCTCAAAGGAGCATCGTTTCATCATTTTACTGCATTATTTCAGCTTTGCTTGTTTGAGCCAGGATTCGGGGCTCCCTTCATTGCACAGGGTTCCATCTCTAGATTCCTCCTCTTGAATTTCCCTGTTCATGGAGTTTCTCTTGGACCCTTAGCAGCAGGGGTCTTGCTCTGACAGGAATCTCTCACACTCCCTTCTTTGCCTCTGAGCCCCACCACATCCTATAGTTAGTGGTATGTGGAGCGAGGTGCTGTCTGCTCTCCCAGGGTCTCGTCAGCCCCGACCGACTCCTCCTTCCCTCCATGCCTGTTGTCCGTACCTGCTGAGACACCTTGGGGCTCGGGGGTGGTGGGACCACTGCTTAGTAAGCCCCTCAGCCTCAGGCACCGAGTGAGCATGACACAGAGATTTGCTCACTTGGTAGAGCTGGGATAGGAGCCGGGCACGCACCCCCCAGCACACCTGCTCTGCTTCCAGAGGGTCAGGTGAGCCCGAGGCCAGGCCAGCTAGAGTCTGGCTGGAGTGTGGTGGCCATAACAGACACCACGAGTGTCTTCATTAAGGGTGAGTGTCTCAGTCTCCCCCAGGGCACCTGCCAGCCACATGGCCACTGTGTGTGCAGACAAGACAGGTGGCAGCTCGGGCCGGCCAGACAAAAGGGAGAGGAAGCCAGTGCACAGGCAGCCCCATAAATATTTCCAGCCACAGCCAACATGTCTTACTGGCAATTTGCTTTTTAAAAAATTGCACTCTAATTTTAAGTGAACAGCCCCTAATTACAGTGATTTATGAGGTACCTGGGGACTGTGTGATATTTGAACATGGCAGAGCGCTGAGCAGAGATGGATGGGCCCGGCATCACTCATTCAGCAGTTCCTGATAATGCCGGAGCATTGCCAGACAGAGGAGGTCCCCTGCCAGTGTGGACCCGGTATGCTGGGGGAAACAGAGGCAGAGGTGGGCTGCAGGGCAGGGGGACTTGTCTGCTGGGGCTGCCTTCATGTGGGGTTTGAGCTGAGAGAGTAGCACTGGTCACTGCTGCCTTCCCCATCCACCCCCACCCCAACCAGGAGGGCAGCACTGTATCTTAGAGCTTCATTCTTCCAAAACCGGCTGAGGCCAACAGAGAGGAGGTGCTGTAGGAGCCATGGGTGGGCACCCAGCCTACCATTGAGAGCAGGTGTCTTGCTGGTGGGGTGTACCTGTTTCAAATAAAGGATGATCAGCGCTCACATTTATAATCCTAACCTTGTAGGAAGCTGAGGTGGGAGGTTCCCATCAGGCCAGGAGTTTGAGACCAGCCTCGGCCACATCGCTGGACACTCTCTCTAGAAAAATTTACAAATAAGCCAGGTGTGATGGTGCATGCACTGCTCAGGAGGCTGAGGTGGGAGGATCACTTGAGCTCCAGAGTCTGAGGCTGCAGTGAGCCGTGATCGTGCCACTGCACTCCTGCCTGGGTGACAGAGCAAGACATGTCTCTTAAAAAAAAAATATTTTTAGGAAAGCAAGCCCAGGCTCCCAAAGGCCTACCAGCATCTGAGGGCTGGGGCAGGCGAGTGCCTGGACAACAGCTGTCCTTCCATCCAGCCGGAGACTGTGCCACAGTGCCCCTGACCCCGCCGGGTTGCCAGCCCTGGGTTGTGAGGAGGGGCGGAGGGCCAGCCAAGGAGTCTTCTTCCCACACTGCCTCCCAGCCCTGCCTAGCAGCTGCAGGAGAATCACCCCCTCTGACATTTAGGGGGAGAAATTCAGAATCAAGCACAGAAGGCAGAAATGAAAGGATTTTCTTAGTAAAAGGTCAGAGTGGTTTCTCTTGTTTTTGTTTAAAAATGCTTTGTGTTGAACTATGACAAGGCCGAATGTATTAAGGCAGCAGGAACAGGGGGAGGGCGGGGGGTCGGCTTCCCGAGAAACGGAGGAGGTGCAGGAACAGGCCGGGCAGCAGGGGCTCCTGGGCAGCACGTGATCCACAGGTGGAGGGGGCACAGCAGGTACGACACCATCAGGGCCGGGCCCAGCTCAGGCACACTCCAGCGGACAGGGCAGCTGCCAGGACCAAGCTGGGTGCAGCCGGGCTGCCCTGGGGCTCCTGGGGAGGGTTCCCACTGGGCTGCCAGGTGGAGGGAGCACTTTACTAAACAGTTGCCTGGGCTCTGATGCACACACCATGTGGCCCACCGTCAAGCTTGCGTAGGGGCCAGTCCACATTCAGTGCACAGCCATCACCACACTCCACCTGTAGGGCCTGCCCCCCAGGACATCCCCTAGGCAGAGTTGTGCTGACAGGTCTGTGTGTCTGGCTGGGCATGTTTTCAGGGTTCTCCTGTGTGGCAGCGTGTCTCAGGGTTCCTGCCCCCTCCCTCCTTGGCTGTGCGAGGTGGGATTGATGAGTAAACCCTGTTTTGTCTTTCCCTCCGGCCCTTGTTCTGCTTTCCATCTGTTAGGGAAGGGATGATCTTGCCGCGGCTGTCTGTGTCTAGGTCTGTGTGTGGACGTTGCTCAGACCCCCTGACCGGGCACACGGACTCTGCGTTCAGCTCTGAGGAGCTGCCAGTGTTTGGCATGGAGGGTCTGACCCCTCACCCCAGCAGCTTACACTGCCTGTTTGTTCTCAGTGGCCATCAGTGCAAGGCCGTCTCCGTCTCACTTGGGTGTGGATCACATTTCCCTGGTGCCCAGCGTCTTGGCACGAGCTTGTTGGCCATGTGCAGGTGTTCTCTGGAGAGATATTCATTCCAGGCCCTTGTTTAATTGGGCCCTTTTCTGTTGATGGTTGAGTTGTGGACATATTCTGGGTACAGGACTTTCCAGGTACATGGTTTGAGAGGGAGCTTTGTGATGGGGCTGGATTTGTGTCCTGCCTGATCTGGGGCTGTGTGGGACACCTTCCATCCTTGTGGACGGTTGGGGCCTGGGTGCCCTCCCAGGCAACTCCCTGACTAGCCGGGTGGGAACAGGTGTGGCAGGTGCCTGGGCAGATTTGGGCATTAGTGAGAAGTCAGTCAGAGCTGTCTGGAGACGGGGTGCCCTGGCCTGGGAAGTAGAGGGCTCCCATATTTGGGAGTGTGTGTGTCCCCTCCCACCTGCAGCCTCCCTGCTGTGGTCTCCAGGTCAGTGTGTGTTTGGCGGTTGCTGGGGAGGGAGAAAGATGGCCGAGTCCCTGCTCAGAAGGGCCTTTGAGCCCCCGCTGGCTCCAGGCCTCTGTCCACTCCCCATAGCCCAGGGCTATGGGCTCCAACCTGCCATGTGGCCTGAAGCCCCTGGGCCCTGCCCTGCTGGAGCTTGCAGTGCTGTCATGGAGCTCCTGGTCACCAGGCCAGCTCTCTCCCCCTTGCACATTCTCCAGTTTCAGGAGGAGGCCACGAAGGGACTCCTGTGCTGCAGAATCCACAGAGCTGGGCCTCCCACCAGGTCCCCAGCACCCCCTGCACACGTGAGGAATGGGGAGCCCTAGGCAGTCCGGAAGACATTGCAGGAGTTGCCTGGGCGTGGGGTCCTCCAGCCTCAGTGGAGAGTGGTACTGGGGCCAGCCATAGGCATGGGTGCAGGTGCTGGAAACTCCCAGGCAGAGGAGGAAGGCGCAAGGTGGCAGCAGTGCCTGGGACTCCCAGCTGCCTGTGTAGATGACAGAGACCTGCCCTGGGTTAATTCAGTCCCTTTAGGTGACCTGGAATAAGGCCTGGCAGGACTGGGGACACATCTATCCCTGTCAGGTCCTCAGGCTGAGGGAAGCACCTCCTGAGCCCCCGTGGCTGGAGGGGCTGTGTAGGGAGGGAGGGGAGAGAGCTGCCAGGCTGACCGCTGTCCTGTCTCTTGCCCACCCTGCAGGCCACCGGCCCCTCGGGCTCCAAGATGCAGCTGCTGGAGACGGAGTTCTCTCGCACAGTGGGAGAGCTCATCGAGGTGCACCTGCGGCGCCAGGACAGCATCCCTGCCTTCCTCAGCTCTCTCACCCTCGAGCTCTTCAGCCGCCAGACCATGGCCTAGCCCAAAGCCTCAGGGGCGCAGCCAGAGCCGCTCTGCTCGGCCTGACCTGCAGGTCCCCTGCCCTGCAGGCACAGATGATGGGGTGTAGTCCTGCCTCTCCAGCCCAGCAGGCCAGCAGCAAGACTGACAGACATGCTGGGACTTGTCGGACATCCTGCTGGGCAGCCACACCCTCCCCACATGCAAACCCCAACATCCCAGAGGCTGGTGGGCGGTGTCAGCCACCAGCCCTGGCTCCTCGCTTTGTAAAATAAAGTCTTCTCCCCAGACACTCCCACTTGCCCTGTGTATCTTTGGCCCAGCCCTAGCAAAGTGGGAGGGAGGAGTGCAAGGAGCTCCGCCAGCAGCCTGCTGCCTGCCATCTGCCGCCCTGCCGCCGCTCGGGTGGGTCAAGCATCTCTGCTCAGGAGTACGCAGCCAGAACGCAGGTGGCGGCCGGGACCCAGAATGGCTGGGGTGACCCCCACCCCACAGGCTGAGGCCCCTTCGCATGGCAGCTTCCAGCTCTGCCTCTAGGCCAGCCCCGGCTCTGGCCTTTCCTTGGCTGATGGAACCGGGATGGAGGCTCTGGGGCTGTCCTCACAGATAAGGGTGTGTTGAAGGGGGACTCTCCCCTCTGTGCCCATGGCTCCATGGCCAAGGGAGGGCCTGGACCTGGCTAGCAGCACTGAAGCCAGGGGCTTGGGGCTCAGAGGGAGCAGCCAGCGAGTGTGGGGTGGCCCCACCCCACGGGGCAGATGGAGCACCCGGCCGTTGAGGCTGGAGATCAAGTCCCTTCTCCCACCACCTTGCCCCCCCCTGCTCAGTGGCCCCAGCCTTCTCCAACCATGGAGAAAATGAGCTGAAAATTCCAGTGCAGGTGCCACTATCTGAACCCAGCAGAAGGGAGCCAAGCAGCCAGAGGAACAGCCTCGCCCCAGAGCCGTGCTCCAGACGGAGGGAGACCCATGGTAGGGGCGGGGGCAGGGGAGATAGGACCAGGGACATGAACCCTGACTCCTGCCTGCACGCTGTGGGCCGGGGCTGCTGCCTCCACCCAGACTCCTCAAGGGCAGGGCAGCTCCGGCCCTACCACCCCTGCCTCGCCCCACTTTCCACTCCCAGCACCCACACCAGCATTAAACACCCTACCAGGCTCCACAAACCCTTCTCCAGGAAACCCCTTTTCCCCCAGGGCTTGAAGTTGGGGGGCCCATCCTGAGTGACCCATGGGGAGAGGTGGGTATACCCCCGGTCTGAAACAGGAAGCCCCTGATACCTTCTGTGTGTCCTCCCCGAACCTCTTATGTCACTTTTCAGCATTGGCTTCGGTTCCTGGGCTCAAGGGATTTGACGGAGGGGTCCTTGGAGCCCCGTGGGGGCTCCATGAGGCTTTGTGCAGGACACAGCCTGGGCAGACGAGAAGTGAGACATCCCCACGTCAAGTGAAGACTGCTCTGCATACTCAGCCCCTGGACACACGTGTGCCTCAGACAGACACACAGCCCTACCAGAAGCTGGGCAGCCACTGGCTCTCACACTAAAACCCAAGTCCCAGACCGCTCAGCCCCATCACAGCCCTGGGGCTGCTGCTGCCCCACGTGTCTGCTGAGCACACCGGGACCCACACAGGAAGTGGCTCCCATAGCCACAGATAATCAGAACAGAGACCCTGGTCTGACCTTGGAGCAATCCTCTGCCAACACCCCCCACGCCAATCCCAGGGTCCTAAAGCCCCAGCCCCCACCACCCCACTTTCCCCATCACCATTCCTGCCAAGCCACGGCCTGAGAGCCAAGATTGCTCCATCACCCTTTCACTGCCAGCAGCCCCGGTGACAGCCCCACACGCACTCAGGGCTCCAGCTTCCAGGACCAAGCCCTGCTCAGCTGGCCCTTCAGGACCAGGGAGCCAGCACCACCCTGGCTGTGAACGCAGAGGGGCAGGGGTCGGTTCTTGCTGAGGCAATTTAGGAGACAGGGTCCAACTGGGCCCTGAAGGCAGATGGGACCCCAACAGGTGGGAAGTGGGCATGGAGCAGGCCCAGAGGCCAGAGGTCAGGGACTGCCCTGGGGGAGGGAAGAGGGCCCTGAAGCCAGAGGGCCCAGAACTCAGGCAGGACAGACGCCCAAGGCCTCTGCCCCAGCAGCAAGGGGAGCAGTCCGTGGTGGGCAGCAGCCAGGTCCAGGGCCAGGCAGGAGCCCCCCGCCGTAAGTGCTGGTCTTGATTGCAAGGTCAGAGCTAAACTCCAGCCAGCCAAGGTGGGAATGGGATTTATTGGGAGGATTTGGGGTAGAGGCTGAGGAAACGGGATGGTGTTGGGGGGAGGCACAGCCTCAGCAGGCACTGGCACTGACTCCCCAGGTGGACACGCACCCCACAGCTCCGGGACCCCTTGGCCACTGGCTCTGCCATCACTGATGCATAACCTGGTGGCTAGGGAGCTACAGTCACAGCCTGCACCCACACCAGAAAAACCGAACCGGGGGTCTCAGCCACAGACCCCTTGGGCCGCAGGACTCCAACCCCCGTCCCTGAGCCCTTGTGTCACATTCTCAAGACCTAGGGCTGCTAAACCTTTGGGTTGCTGCAGCCTGGACCGCCACCCACGCCTGCATTCCACCCCCAGCCTCTGGCATCGTGATGGGCTTTGCAGCTAAAGGGTCACAAGCCCCGCCCCTGCCCCGTTCCCGGGTGCAACCTCATGTCCACATCTGGACCTGGGGCTCCTTTCTGCCTTGGTCTCCCCTTCCCCCTCCACAGCCAGGGCTCTCCAAAGCACCTTCCTTTGGGGGAGCCTGGAGCTGGCCCCTCCCCTGCCGGCTCCCTGGGAGGGTCTACACCAGGCTGGGCCCCAGAGCCAGCACTGAGATGCACAGATCTGGGCGGCTCTGCTCTGATCCGTGTGATTTTTCCTTTCCCAGGAAGAGGCATAGGCGGGGCCAGAGCAGCCCTCCCACCCCCCAAGGGACATGTCTGGGTGAGCCAGGGAGAGCAGAGGTCCTGATAACATGTCTCCCTTGCGGGCTGATTTAATAACCCTTTCCCTCGAGTTTGTCAAATCCTCTTCAAGTGCCTGCCAGGTGGAATGGGAAAGAAACAGCGAATGAGGATCCCAGGAGGCGCCGCCAGGCCTCGGTCCCCGTCTAGCCCTGGCCACTGGGCCAGAGAAAGTTCTGGTTCTGGCAGATTTCCCACTTCCCCCAGCTCCTTAGTGGGCACCGACACTAAATGGTTCTTAAGCTGCTAATGACTAATTTTAAGGGATTAGTGCCGCAGCAATAAACTGTAATTGCCAGGATGTAACAGGATTTGGTGGGCCCCAGGGCTTTTTCCAGCTTCCTGGCAGGCCGGGGAGGACAGTGCCACCTGCCGGAGCCTCCGAGGGACCAACCTCCCTCCCTCCCTCCCAGCTCAGCCACCTCCCACCTGTGCACAGGGAGCCAGTGCAACACCTGTGCAGGGTTAGTCCGGCTCTTTCCTTCCTGCAGATGCCTTGTACAAATTCTGGAGGTGAGAAGTCCCTGGGTTTTCTGCAGCTTCTGCAGCCCCTGCAGCCCCTCACTCCTCAGAGTGGGGTCCCTGGAAGCACCTGAGAAAGGCAAGTCCTCAGGTCCCACCTGGAGCGACTGTCAGAATCCACCTTTAACAAGTCTCTTGGGCAGCTCGAACACGCACAGGCTCTCATCAGCTTGAAACTTGCCAGTTGACAATGCTCATCCCCATCCCATAATGATCCTGCAAGTCTGGTCTTGTCAGGAAAGGAAATCTTGGTGCAGAAAGACAGAGGCTGGCCCACAAATACCTCATGCAAGTCGTGTTGGGTGCAGACTCAAAGCCTGCCCTCCGACTACAGATTCGGCTGCCCCTCCAGGCCCTAGCATGTGAGTCAAACTTTGCCCATTTCTCTCCTGCTAAAACATCTCCAGGGCACGGTGGCAGGTGCCTATAATCCCAGCCACTTGGGAGGCTGAGACAGGAGAATTGCTTGAACTCAGGAGGCAGAGGATGCAGTGAGCCAAGATCACGCCACTGCACTCCAGCCTGGGTGACAGAGTGAGAGTCCATCCAAAAAAAAAAAAAAAAAGTCTCCAGGACTCAGGGGTAGGCAAGGACTGGAACCTTCATCCAGAGACAGCATTGGAGAGAAACTCAGAGGTCCAGGGCTCAGAACCTAGGGCCATACATACAGGAGTATGTGTGCAGGTGTGTACACGCAGAGGTGTGGGCATACATCACTGCCACACCTGTACACACCACCTGTGTGCCCATGTACATACAGGCATGTGCACGTGCGTACATCCATGTATGGTTTGTGTGTGCATATGAAAATGTATGTACAGGTGATGTGTGTGCATGCATGACTGGATGCGTGTTTGGTGTGTTCCATGTGTGCACATGGATGTGTGTGCACCTGTGTGCACGTATGACTGTCCACATGGGTGTATTGGTGTGTACGCCATGTGTGCATGTGTGTGGGCACACATGACTGTCAGTGCATGGCCATGTGTGCACATGGTTGTGTGTGTGCAAGCATGCTTGCAACCCGACGACAGGCAGCTTCACCAGAATGCTTACATTCCTGCTTCAGGCCCAGAGAGGGGGAGTTCCCTGTCCAAAGTCACACAGTGAGACAGCACCAGTGTGGAGGTTCTAGGAGCCCAGTCCAGGCATCAGCTGGCCCAGCCTGCTAGTCTTGTGGTGTTTTATGTTTTCTTTAACTGCACAATTCAAACACATTTTTTAAATTAAAACAAAACTAAGATCCTTCCAACAATACAGAAGGAATGAAAAGGAGAAGTCCCCGTCTGGCCCCTGTCCCAGACTCTCTCGCCTGTGGGCGGATGTGCACACCTACATATGGACACACGAAAACACACGGTTTTGCCTCGCTGGGTGGTCTGTGGTTTTAAAATCCCTCCATATTGTTCCACAGCTTGGTTTCTCTCACTTGACAATATGTCTTGGAACTTTTCCATAAAAGCGTCTACTGATCTATTTCACTGGATTTTTGCTGTTGTTGCCAACACTCTCAAGAAGTTTTATTAAAAACGGTGACATCCAGAAACACCAGATTCATTTTAAAGTAAAATTGACAGCATGTTTCAGAACTTACATAGTTCTGAACCGTTTGTGTCACTATCTTTTAAAGCAAAACAAAACGCCAAGTCCAGATACCAACTAGCAGAGAAGGTGACCCTCAGCGAGCCATGGGGAGAGGCCCTGGGAAAACAGCCCTGCCGATCGGTGCCCTGACCTTGGACCTCAGTCTCCAGAACTGTGAGAAAGAACTGCTGCCGCGGAAGTTCTTTAGCGGAAGCCTCCCCGGCAAGTTGTTGTCCGAGGTTCGGTTAAGGCGGCCGGAGCTGCCTAACTCATCCTTACCCACCAGTGAGCCCTCCCTCCCACTCCATCTCCGGAGCCAGCTCTGCCGTTTCTTCTGGCATTCCTCACCACCTGGCTTTTGTTCAATGCATAGTCTATTTATAATACACACATACTGCACATATGTTCCAGTAGGTACAGTCATGTTTTAGTTTTCTGTTCTCATGCATAGAACAGTGCTGTCTAATAGAGATGCCATGTGAACTGCATAACTTGAATTTTTTTAGTAGCCACATTAAATAGTAAGCAGAAGCCAGTGAAAATAACGTTAATAAATACACCTTTTTTTTTTTTTTAGACAGAGTTTCAGTGGTTAGAGACTCTTAGGTTAGAGTGCAGTGGCGTGATCTTGGCTTCCTGCAACCTCTGCTGCCTGGGTTCAAGCGATTCTCCTGCCTCAGCCTCCTGAGTAGCTGGGATTACAGGCACCTGCCACTGCGCCTGGCTAATTTTTGTATTCTTTTAGTAGAGATGAGGTTTCACCATCCTGGCCAGGCTGGCTCTGGTGTGTCACTCCCGTGTGGAAAGAGGGGCCTTGTTACATTCATTGCGGGAGCCAGTACCTGACAGTCCTGGGTCACACCAGTGTGCGGGTGTTCGTGGGCGAATCCATGCTGGGTGGTGACAGGTGATGGCGCGCTGGGTTCCTATTTGATGAATGAGAAAACTGGAAGCAGAGACAAGGGGAAATGGCTGTCCCAGCTCTCATGTCCCAGAGCATGGGTGGAGGCGGAGGCAGAGCCAGGCCTGGCTCCCTCGTGGGCAGAGGGACCAGAGGTGAGCAGTGCCCACTGTGGACAGGGACCTGAGCTCACAGCCCCTCAGCTTTCTCCAAGCACCTGCTCCTCCCCAACAGAGCCGGGGTCTGGGCATTCAGGCACATCCTGGCCGAGGCTTCAGGAGGCCTTAGTTCAATGCTGGCTCAGCCCGGCCTGCGGGATGCTCTTGGGCAAGGGTCCTCCCTTCCCCGGGGCTCAGTCTTTGCATCTGGAGAATGGACAGACTGCAGGACCTGCCGGGGGTGTCTGCCCGGCCCAACACTGAGTTGGGGTAGGGGACACCCCAGGGCGCAGTATGTGGCCTCTTCAGCATAACACTATAATTAGCCCAATTACCCACCGCCTTCATGCTTTTTTTTAAAATTTAAAATGGAAATTAAATTTTGCACCAGGTTTACAGGCTGTTAACGGAATTCACTAATCAAACCCAACACCAAGTCCTTGAAAATGAGAATTCAAAAAGGTCTATATTTGCATATTCATGTTTTTAATAGGGTTCAGAAGGTATATTTGCAGCTGATGAAAGGATTAATTAAATCTATTTGCATTGGTGAAGAATTTTAACCCCTTCTGAGCTGGCTGGAGAGGGGAAGGCCCTGAGGCCCAGTGGTAAACATAGTCTTAGGAGGATGTCTAGAGGCGCTGCTCCTGCCACCCCTTCCTGGGCCACGTGTCCCGGCAGTGAGCCTCTCCCCAGCCCAGCACAGCAGGACGGTGGCCACGGCACCAGACCTGGGGCCTTCACAGCAGACCTGCCTGCGACAGGAGGTGACTTCAGGGGTTTTTACTTTAAAAACAAACATACGCTAGGATTTTGGGTTTTTATAACATTCATACATTGTCACTGTAACATTTAGAAAATATGGGAAACTCTCAAGGAAAAAAATGAAAGTCTCTTAAACGTGCCCACTCAGCAATGCCCCTGGAGGCTCGAGTCCTGCCTCCCGCCCCTCCTCCGCGGGAGTGTGAGCACGTTGTGTTGAACACACACATGTGCAAGTGTTTGAGTTGCACGTGTGTGTACATGTGTGCTCACACGTGTGGTGTGCATGTGCACCTGTGTCATTAGACACAGCATAGGTGCAGAGTGTAATAGGGACCACGTTACACACAGGCACACAACACATACGCCTAGAGTTGAACATCCGAGACGTTTACACGTGTGGTTATAGATGCAGTATATACACATGGTATGATGGTTGACACCATCAACCTGATTGGATTGAAGGACGCAAAGTATGGATCCTGGGTGCATCTGTGAGGGTGTTGCCAAAGGAGATGAACATTTGAGTCAGTGGGGAAGGCAGACCCATCCTCAATCTGGGGGGCCACCATCTAATCAGCTGCAAGTGTGGCTAGAATATAAAGCAGGCAGGAAAATGTGGAGAGACAGACCTCGCCTCCCAGCCTCCAACTTTCTCCCGTGCTGGGTGCTTCCTGCCCTCAGACATCGGGCTCCAAGTTCTTCAGTTTGGGGACTCAGACTGGCTCTCCCTGCTCCTCAGCCTGCAGACAGCCTATTGTAGGACCTTGTGATTGTGTGAGTTAATACTTAATAAACTCCCCTTTA